GAGAGTTGAAAACGGCAATCAAGAGTGTTATGAATGTCACCTAGAAGTATCCAAAGAAGTGGAAGATAAGACTGGAGAGGCGTGCTCACTCTGTTTCCTTGGAAGCAGTTTTGAGTGCCAAGGAAATCTTATGAGGGCCTTTGACTGTTATAACTCGAGTGTAGAATTGTATGATGATATCAGAGCCAGTCTTCAACTCAACGATCAGTGGAAGATTTGTTATCGTAATCAGCACCAAGTTGCATACAAAGGTTTGTGGCGTATAAATCTCAATCGAGGTCAAGTTGTGAAGGCTCTTCTTGCCAGAGAGAAAGGACGTGCTCAAGCTCTGAGAGACCTCATGGTCACAAAATATCGGCCTGGAGATTCTTTAACGCCCAGTGCATTCCGCATTTCTCTGAGGTGGGTTCCATTGAGCACAGTTTTCATAGCTATTAGCGGACCATGCGTTTACTTCTGGGTTTGCCTTAGTGAAAATAAAGTCCAGATGAGAAAAGTACTCAGGCTGACTTTCACATGAAGACTGGTGCATTGCTTGTCGGCGACCCATGTTTCAAACATATCATCTATCAGGGAACACTTTTGGTGCAACTTCCAGGAGCAAGGAAAGAAATAGAGATGATCGGACGTATCCTCAATGTCTCGCCTCTCACTGGAGAAATGGCAACAAAAGATGAAGTGTTAAAACGAATATCATCAGCGGCCTTAGTTCACATAGCAGCGCACGGTAAAATTGAAACTGGAGAAGTTATCCTGGCACCAAACACCACAAGAGATAACCCTCAGCCGCAAGAGAAAGACTATCTACTGACAATGAAGGATGTGATAGAAGCTGGGTTGCGAGCACGTCTGGTTGTACTTAGCTGCTGTCACACAGCTCGTGGGGAGGTCATGGCCGAGGGTGTGGTAGGCATGGCGCGTGCACTTTTGGGTGCCGGTGCCAGATCGGTTGTGGTAACCTTGTGGGCGATTGGCGACGAGGGAACCCTGGAGTTCATGAGTTTCTTCTACGATGCACTTGCCAAAGGCAAAAAGGCAAGTGAAGCTCTCAATCAGGCCATGAAGTGTATGAGAGAAATTGAAAAGTTCAAGGAGGTGATTTACTGGGCACCATTTGTACTCATTGGTGACGACGTCAACCTGGATTTCAAGGATATTTCAAAGCTCAAGCAAGTAGATATTCTGTTTACACATTCTATTCAATACAAAGTTACCTTAAATCATAATTATGGCTTATGTATGAGCACTAATACTTGCTTGTTATTTTCCTCTCAGTTGGGTGATGAATTTATCTTTTGCTCCGACAAATTGAGATGCAGCACAATCAAGTGGACACGTTTACGATGATAACATTCTTTTTAGGAAACATGATAGGAGTAAAACAGCAAATTTCTTTTAAAACAATCCTATTGTGCTCTGTATCGTTTCATGTTTTAAGAAATATTTCGTGGCGACTCAACTATCCTCCCTAAACTTAGATTCTTTTATTTTTCAGTTAAGGCAATGAGCATTGGAATCCCAGGGAGTTTCCGGATACCTAAAAACGCTGATATTTGGACCAGAAACCAGTAAGCTACGGCTGAAATATTTGTCAAGAGTCTTTTTTTTCAAAGCAGGAAGAACCAAAAGACGGCCAAAGGCAAGTTTGACAAGAGAACGGATTTCCTTTGATTCAAAAGCTGACTTTTTGTTTGTCTGAACTGCTCTTCCGAGCTTCATCTTTGATATCCTACTGAAACTGCTGTTTTTTTCATATGTCTTGAAATCAACATGACTAGCTATGTAAAAAATTATTTTTGATCCAAGTATTACCTACTAAGTGAATTTGGGCGAAGTTGAAACGTCTTGAAAAATGTTTCCCAAAGTTTTTTCAGACTTTTCCTCAATTTGTTTTTTTCTCATGATAGATGTAAAACTGTTACAGCCATGTGCGTGTGTGGAGAATTTCCATGGAAATTGGAGAATAATCAGTTGTCCGATTGCTCGATTATCTTTTTTTTTTTTATGTCAGATGGAAATTTTGATGAACTTTTCGAGGATTTGTACCCAATCATAGGTACTTAAAGTTAGTTTCTGCCGATCAGAATTTGGTTTACCTGGCCTTAAAGTGACAGGTTTTGGCCGTAATGGCCAGGATTTAGTCTTGGTATTTGTTAATATTCTGAGATTTCTCCTCTAATTTTGAAGGCGATAAAATGTGTCATTTTTATACAAGAAAAATGATGCATTTTAAGTATATTGTTTGAATTAATCAGTCCAAAGGCAAAAAGAGCAGTTATTATAATTTTAGTTACTGGCCTATAAAGCATTGAGAGAAACTCAGAACGAGGTAGGAAATTGGAGCCAAATGATTTTATTTAGTTTCTTCGATTAGATTGTTTACCTATTATCTAAGTACAATAAACTAACAATGAAACAAGTCGCTTGACATTTTGTTAGAATGGAAGAGGAAATCAATAACAAAGGGAAGAAAAATTTTCTGCATCAACCTGCATAAGCCATTTCTTGTCGTTTGAAGTAGTGAGTGCGCCTATGTCTTGTTTGCTTAATAATATTTGCCCATTTCTTACAATTGGTTTAATGAATGAGAGATACACTTCGATATTTTTTGACTCAATAACTGCTAGTATTGATCATTGGCAGCCATTGCTTAGGATGTCACGCGACGCACTTCTTTAGCACGTTATGTGACAGATAAGATGTTTTGTCACATCTTGTCGTTTGAAGCAGTGAGCGCACCTATGTTTCATTTCCTCAGCCTTTTCCAATTTCCTAGGATAACGTTATCAAATGAGATATAAACTTCGATATTTTCAGATTTTATAACTGCAGCCGTTCCTTAGGATGTCACGCGACACGCTTCTTTAGCATGTAAAGCGACATAATGTTTTGTCATATATCGTTGAAAAGGCAAGAAAAAAGAAATTACCTTTGGCGTTGGAAGATGGTGCTTTATTCTGTTTATAGAAAGCGTCCTCATCGTGGGAGGTACCCTAGGTCGGTGTGCTTTCTCGAGTGTAGGAAATATTGATGAGCGTTGTCCCTGATCACTGGGCATTCCTGTTATGTTCAATATGTAAGCCCCGATATTTTGACTTCACCCAAGATTTAGGAAACTGCGACGATGTAGATGTTTCAGCAGAACATGTTTACTGACGATAGCATATATTATAACCATTTTCTAAAAAGAGTCATGGGGGAGGTCGGTTTATCCCCTTTGGGTTGGAAGTGTAAATGGCTAGGTGGTTTCAAGGGTAGCATCACAAGACGGATTCTCAAGAATCTCAGAGCTACGGTTTCAGAAGGTTATGATGAGAATTTCCCTGAGAAATTGCTGGACTTAGGCTTCTTTCGTCTGCTCAGATTTTCTCTTCGTGCTTCATAATTCTACTCCATCTACCCACCTTACGGCGGTTTTTACTATATACCTTGACATTGAATTACCCTCCAGTTTCGGTGAAAATGGGGGAACTCGTCCCAAACGAGGTTAGATGGTTATCACCGAGAATGCGCTTGTCGGGTCATAAAAAGCGATATTAACTTTTAAAGCGTACTCTGAATTATTCCGTTCGGTTTCATAAAGTATACCTCATTGCATTGTAAATGAAGATACACAAACATTCTTAATCAAGCGTTGGATGTTGTCCTTGATTAACATAGTGTTATAAGGTTAGACGTGTAAATCAAGTGAGGCCAGGTATGCTACGATAATTTAGTTTTCCGAGCTTTCGCCGATCTGCAGCATCGTCAGCGATCATCCCTGATGATCGGCGAAAACGTGTAAAAATTCCCAAAAACATTTCTATTCATATTTTATTGTTTGTAAAACACGAAGTTTAATGAAATCAAATTAAGATTCCACTGTAAGGCAGCTGTTAAACATTTGGAATTTTCTCTTTCTTACTAACTATTGTTGGAATCTTATCAATGTATCATGTTATTAACATTATTTTTTACTTGTGTTTTTATTTAGTATTATTCTTTGGTTTCTCCTTCACATAGTTCACGAATCTTTACAATGTAACTTTTACGTCGTAATTTGATGGTGTATTTGTAAAGGTAAACTCAAATTGTAACGCTAGCAAATTCAGCTGAAAATACACGAGTGCTGTCAAAACATGTTTTGTAAACTCAGAAGTGTTGAAAATATCAGTGTAATACGAAATTTCATAGGAAGTGTTTATGCACCAAAGAATGTTTGTCAAGTCACACGGGGATTCAATGCAGAATATTTTTTTACTTTTTCATCGAATACTTAGTCACTACCGGAAATGGAAATGTTTAATGTTCGTGTGGTCAATAATCGTTTAGATTTGACAGGCTTCAGTCAAGATGCCTAAATGATGATTCATATTATTAGGAATTTCACTTTTTCATTTTCACGAAAACTTAGGATACCGCTCTATAGTGCAGCTGCCATGCTTCATCCTCTAACAAACTTCCTTAGTAAAACCTCTAAAAGGGATCCAAAACCTCTTTTTGTTTCCGCTTCAATTACCTTGAATTACTGGAAATTCAGAGCTGTGATTTGTTAATCACGAGCATGATTACAGACAGAATTAGACGACACGAAATCCTGTTATCAATTAATCATAACCATTGCAATTTCCGAAAAAACAAACACATCCAGAAAAAATATCTCCGGTGGAGACAATGTTTAATGTTAAAATTCCCTCCATCCTGGAAATTCCCAGTTTTCCTTCAAATGAGTGGTTTTTGTGATCAATTCTGTGATTGGTGGATTTAGCTGAGTAGACTTGGTATGATTGACTGCTTCAAGTGTCCGATCACATTGTCCGATGACATCTCTCTAAAAAAAATAGTAAAAATTAAAGCAGTTACCGCACCAGTCACATTTGAATAAATTGTAATGGTTATGATTACTGAAATAATTTTAATCAATCATTCTATGCAATGATTTCACAGTAATGTTATCATAACCTGACCAGGTCCATCAGATTAGTAACAACACTCATTTTTCTGATCCTTTCCTGAGTTGAAAGAGTCACCCCCTGCTCCACAAGAATCGTCATTCATCTCTCCGCCACCTCCGCCAGAATACCCACCCCCACCCACTCTTCCCTGAAGAAATCCTCTGTCACCGTCTGCGTTCTCATCTGTTACGTGGGATAAAAGCCTCTACTGCCTCCACCGCTACCGCCTAAAAGAATGAAAAGAGGATTCAACTTCAACGGACAAAAAAAATGATAGAAAAAAAGACATGAATAAGTCACTAAATGAATTAAATGACACCAATTATACCAAAAAGGTTTTTTTTAAAAAAAATAGTAATTGGTACTACCTTATTTAAACGAATCGTTTGGTGGGGGGAAAGTCCTCCCTGAATTTTACAATACGGATGTCAATTTCTATAAGTAAGAATCGAATTTTTTGATTCATCTAGATGTGGTGTTCCCATAGCCTACGAGTAAGCTTTCATAAATGCTGCTGCTGAGACAAGTACACCTCTGGCTTTCCAGAAAGTTTCCCGAAAGTCAAGGGGTGAGTGGGGCGAGGTGTCGAGAAGGCTACAGGCTTTCTCTAGCGGACCTCTTTCTCGCCTGTTTCTCTCTCCAGCTCGCGAGGGCCCTGGAAATTCTCTCACCTGCGTAGCTGGAATTGCCACTCTGCCCGCTAAGACCACCGATTCCGCCTGACCCTGCTGATCTGTACCCAGGATTCCCGTTGTGTTCGTACTAGCGTCACACCCTGCATGCCGCTTTGTCAAATAATACAGACCTCCTCCACCTCCAGCTATTATCAAAGGCGTGTTGTATTTTCTGACAACGAATGTACCTCCACCACCGCCAGAACTCCAGTCATGATCTTCAGAGCCCCCTTCCTGTCCCACAAGGATACGCATGATCTCATCTTTAATCAGACTGAACGTTCCGATCATTCTCGCTCCTCTTCCTCGATCTTAAGCGCTATTAGGGTGTGAATCGTACCCTTCTACTGCTCTTATTGCTTCTATTCTGTAGTCACCAGTGTGAGACACAGTACATTGTTGAATACCACTGGACAATGTAACTTGTCCGTCATGATCCTGACCTGCTTAGTGACTGCCCACCGTTGTTGGACTATATCTTCCAGTGGCACAGAGATTTGAGAACATCGCAGTGAATGCCGAAAAATGAAATGATTATAATAATAATTTTCATATATCTATATATATCATATATCTAAATTCTTCATTCACTTGGATGTTTATTTGTACCCAATTCATTGACCAGCTCCCAGTTGGCTTGTTAGCTCAATTGGTAGAGCGCTGCACCGGTATCGCAGAGGTCATGGGTTCAAATCCCGTACGGGCCTGGATTTTTTTCAGGTCCTATTTAAAACTACTA